AAAAAGGATGGCGCTGACCAATCTCTCCGAAGTGTGCTTATAGTCTCGTTCGCTGCGGATGATGGGGCGTGGCAACTGCGTTTGACGTGATGCCAAACCGTTCCTTTTTTTGCTTTCAGCAAGCGACAAGACTGTTCATTCCGTTCGCGTCTGTCGTTTTCCACTAGTTGTTGTCACTTACCCTCGTCAGCAACTGGCCGAGAAAGGGCTGCCGGCCTGCCAAACATAGCCGCGCTGACACGCCCTATACCCACAGCGAACAAGATTGCACAATAAAGCCTTCATAAAGATAGGAACTTTTTGAATTGTATGCATTTCCCCCCCCCCCCCCTCTCATTCACTGGACTATATACCTTCTCCTTAACTTTTGAGAACATTCAGTTGGTGGGGCGGAGCAATTGTAGGGATATGGCAAAATGCAGCTTATCGCGCGCGTGGTTCATGGTAAAGTCCTGAATCTGCTCTCACCCAGGGCAACTAAGCCTTCTGTCCTCCGGTGCGGTTAATTGGTACCAGACTGGTAAGATTAGTGCCCTGACCTGTACATCGGCTGGGTCGCTCAAGTCATTGTAACGGCCATATTGCACTCAGTAAGTCACTACGATTCTGAAAGGAAGTAGAATGCGTGTCGTACCTCAGAGAGGGATCACGACACACCTTCTACTGTCAAGAAGGGACCAAAGCCAAAGGCTGCCGTTCTATACCTTGTTCGTCTGGTGACACTCGCACGCCTTACGCCTTCCTCGTCCTCCGTAGTTTCATCGAAGTTTCGTAGAACTCCTTACGTTTTTGTGAGATTTTTGGTATAGTGTAGCCTTGCTTCGATTCCTCAGCTTTTTTCTAGTCCTCACCTTTCACTGTTGACTAAGGTCAACAATGAATGGTGAGGAAAAAAGTTCTCTCTGGAAAAGGTTGTGACAGCGCTGTCGCTAGTTCGCCTGTTTCTAAACGGCTGCAGCAAATGGATTCTGTTGTGTTTCGAACCGGTTTCTTTTGGCAACAGCACACCTATCATATTGGGCTGGTCCAACTGAATTAAGGAGGGAGTTTCATTCAATATTTTTCCAAGGAAATGAGATAGAACTGAGAAATCTTGAACAATATGTATATTTAAGCGCTGTTTTTGCCAAAGGAAAGCTTCCCCGAGGGTCTCAAACTTAATGGATCACCACCTTATTTTCCACGCTACCGACCATCTCCAGCTTGGAATATCAGCTTTTGAATTTTTTCAAGTCAGCATGTGTAGTATGAAGGAGGAAACACTCAAGATGTGCAGCAACTATAATTATCCTGAGCGAGAGGAGTGATGTCGGGCGATTAGGGTGATTGGCACCACTCGTGAGCTCCCTCTTCGGCCTAATGCTCACCGCCAGCTTCTGTTCTATGGCATCTGAAAACATACAATAGTATAGGCCTCCGGGAAGTCCCGAGCGACTTCTTCCAGATCCTGTTTTATTATGGCTTGATAGCCTTCTCCAGTGATGGTCTTCTTTTCGTTTTGCGAATAGAAAAATGCTGTTATATGAACATTGCTTTCTCTACTAAATATAAGTACAATTTCATATGGACCGTGGTTCTGGTTCATTCGAAAGGAGTCAGGTTCAAAGCTGATCATTCAGTGGGTGTATGTTAAGGTGGACCACCTATATCTCGTCCGGAGCCTTACCTTGATGGAACGGTTCTTTATGCTCTTTGCTCCTTTGCTTGTAGGACATTGCTACACGCGTTTGAACACAATGGTCTTGTCGAGTACGGAATTATGAAGCGCGTATCAGTATGTCTCGATGATGAACCAAGACTGTTCCTAAAAATAAAGAAGACGCTGTGATTTTCGGAACACTCAGTAGCCGGAAAATAAAGGCTTGTCACTGCTTTGATTGCAATATGCTGCCTCAGTTCTAGTCATTTGTTCTTCTTTTCCCCTTTTCTTTGTTAACACCCTCCTCGCTTGTGTTTTGGGCTCGGGTGTCTGTTCGAAAACTGTGCAGTCAATATTGTGTATTTCTTGCTGGATATTTTGCAATGTTCCTTTGCGGCCACTTCGAGGGAGTTTCGATTATTACGAAGTGTTCCCTGGAAATTAATCCCAATTTTTTTGGTTCCGCCTGCACAATATGGTGCAGACACGCAGCACGCCTTGACCAGCCATACCTCTACACCCCAGGCCAAATTTCTTAAAAATACTGGGTCGTCCCAAGAGAGATGGGTTTTTTTTCTCCTCCAAAACTTGTGTAGAAGTCGAGATGTTTTCTCAACTCTCCCTATACCGTTTGGTGGGGAATTTTATGCACTTTGATGCCACATGCTTGGGTGCTTGTGCTCACTCAGTCTCTGTTCACACCTCAGAACTTGTGAGCTATATGGACAAGGAACACTCCTTCTTACGACGACCTTTGTTTGATTCAAGCGCTTTGGAGCTGAGAGTTTTGGCTTCGTAAATACCCAGCGCACCGGAAACCGTGTTGGGTTCGATAAGGACCTACTCCAGTGAACCTTCACAAGTGTTTAAGTTTCTTTCTTCAGGTAAAGGTGATGCTGATACGAGTGTGGAGGCATTCTGTGATCTCTCTTGGGTCCATATTATCTAGCGCAGGTATTCGTGGATAAGCTGATTCACTAAGCCTCAAAGCAAACTCAACAGGGCGCCCGATGTAATGCTTGTCTGCGATGTCAGCACTGCAATCTTAGGATCATTTAAACCAGCTCTGAGCAATCTTCTTAGGTATCACTTCTTGGTCATGTGCTTCAAAGCGGAACTTCTACCGTTTCAGATTCTTGAATAAAACGCAAAAAAAGGAAAGTGTCAAAGTTCTCGTTTTTGTCGGCTTGACGCTCTTTTTCAGACACTTGAGAATTACTAGAAAATAAATTCAAAAGAATGTAAGCCCATTAGCTTAGTGCAGAACGTTCTCTATCAAACGGCATGGTTTTCAGTGACGAAACTCATGTATGATGCAAAATTTTGACTTAGAAAAAATGCCATTAGTCATGGGCCACCCTATAGTATGGCTGGGAAGAAAGTGGGTTCTGGGATAACTTCTTTGTTGCTGATACTACATCAGATTCAGAGATCATTTCGCTTCACCCTTCACGTGACTCTCTCTAGTAGAATGCTTGATGTTTCAGCGCAATTAGGCTCAGGGGACGGGGGGGGGGGTGACGAGGGGGCATTTCGCACTTCTCTACTTTTCATTGAAATGTCGAGCAGTTATGTGGAGACCTGTGAAAGCTTGTGAAGCCACGAACTGATACCAGCCAAAGCCTGTAGAAACCACGTACGAACTCTTGTAAATACTTGACAAAATTCATTTCCCGAGCTATTGCATGAGCTTACAAGTTCACAGGTTCACTGGAGTGAGACTTGTAAACCGCAACTAGTGAAGCAGCAAAATACGAAATGCCCCCCCCCCTCCCCCTCATCTTCGGTCACCGAACTGCGCTGATATTTCCTTATCATTGCAGCTATTGGCACGTTTCTCTTACCAAGTTGCGGTTATTGCATGTGAAGTGGGATCTCCTTGGATCCTTGAGATCCTTGGTTCTTAGGATGAAGCTCGTGTCCGTTCTTCCTGATTTCCAATCACACACCGAAGGTCTTTAGCGGCATTGCTACTCACTCCGAACCTTAACAATCGACAAGACAATCTCTTTGGGGATCTGACTTCACCTGTGAGCGAATTTACCCTTCAGATGATTGTGTGATGATTGTGCCTTTGGTTGGTGATTCCTTGACAGACTGATGGGTTTTCAGCAGTAACTTGGACATTCTCCTCGTATTTTCAACTGATTTATTTTTCGTTAATTTATGGGTTTTAAACAGAGTTCTTGAAGAAGCCCGTTTAACACCTAGATTCCTCCTTGCAAGGGAGGTCGTTCAGGCCGTGGTGAGCTTTTTCAACGGTTTGTGCATGTTTGTAGGGGTCTATGCGAGGACCATAGCGATGGGGTTCATTTTTGCGAAACGGTTCTGGGAATATCAAAAAAGGTCGAAAACAATTTGAAACAGTTTTTGCATTTTTCTCATTTCTTGCTTCTTGTATTCCTGTATGCCCCATAATGTGTATGACCCGGATATACGCCATTTGAAGCACATTCCATGCGGGAACGGTTCACAAATAGGCCTCACTCAATTATTGCTCGCGAAATACTATCGAAAAAACTCTTCATGAAACTTGGGTTACGGCGGTTATCCGATGCTCTATTCATAAACACGACACTCATTTTTGAATATGGCGCAATGTGTCGCTAATTTGGTGCAAAGGCTTTCTCGTACTACCATCATTGTCAGTCTGCGCGGCGGGGCTATTCAGCGCCATACTGGGCCCAGATGGCCTCCGCAGCAAAAATAAAAATCTGAACCATTCAGGAAACCATCAATTACCCCTACGTATAGAGTTACGCCGAGAAAAATTTTTCCGAGCTTTTGTGTTATGATGCCTGCCATGTCTCCAGCTAGTGGCTATCAGTTCCCCCCCCCCCCCCCCAAGGAGTCGTTATCCAACATCGTTAAGAGGAAGCTTTTCATTTGCTAGTATGCAGACGCAGAATTAAAAACTACACAAAAAAGTGACGCACATACACTGCACTCCTCTCATACCTTTGATATGAGAAACAAAAACCTTTCTCCGGGCAAGTGGTAACGAGTTCTTCTTTGTTGAAAGCATAGACGGTAAAAGTGAAAAGATCCAGGATGCTCGTTTAGTGGCTCCGAAGCTAGCACGATGTTCTATGAAGACCTACTGAAGTTGAGGGGCAAGAAATGAAAAATTTCTGGCGGTTCGTCTGCCAGAGAGGATACTTAATGGAGGGTCCGCCTGTCACTGCATCCAAATGCGCAGGTGCCTATGCCACTAAAGAAATCGAAAAAAAATTTTTCGCTGAATACGCTCTTAAACAGTGGTAATAATCAATAGCTCTGGATGCACGATTCTGACAAATTTATGGCGTCCGGATCGACCGACACCCCTTTTAGCGCCACTCCTGCCCCGGGTGTCGGTCGGATGGCGTGGCTGGCAGCTGTCCTACCGTAACTGGGACGCTGCTGGACGCTAATTGACACCTCCCTGAGCCTGTTCAGCCGCTCCCTCGGACCGGAGAACTCGTCCACAAGCCACGCACCATACTGATTCGTATAATTGACCTACAATGGTGAGACGTCTCCGTTTAAAGCCGAATGCCGCTACTGATCGCTCAACTACGCATTCTCTTCCGTTTTTGAGCGGAGTTTCGACTTTTTTTCGCCTACCAGCCATTACATGTCTACAGCTATAAAGGCTATCGATTATTCAATGCATTTCTGTACACTGCGGAGCTACTAAACAGTGCGTGAGTTTTTTTTACAGTTGCTTAAAAGTTGATTTCTATACTGTTTGCTTACTGGAAGAGCATAGTTTCATGACCATTTTGGGATCATGACACATTCTTCTTCTCAGTTCGCTCACAGTTATTTTTCCTTGTTCACGATCATTGAAGAGTTCCTAACAACTGTTTTTACACGTTTGCACAAAAAAGTTACCAGAACAGCTTCACGATGCATTATTCCTCAATATTCTTGCTTTCCCTGATACAATTTTCCTGGACTCAGTCCCTTACTCCATTTCTAAGTTGGTATTGACATTGTGACCCTGCTGACGAGCAACATTTGATTGCCCAAAGGAGACACCAAAGTCTTCCGTAACTGCATCCCCCGAAAAGAAGTTGCGGTCGTAATTAATCGATGATCGTTAACAAGGAAAAATAACTGTGAGCGAACTTAGAAGAAGAATGTGTCATGATCCCAAAATGGTCATGAAACTATGCTCTTCCAGTAAGCAAACAGTATAGAAATCAAGTTTTAAGCAACTGCAAAAAAAAAACTCACCAATGGTTTAGTAGCTCCGCACTTGTACAGAAAGGCAATGAATAAGCAATGGTCAATATACAATATTAGTAGTGTGGTTTCAAAATAGTTGGTAAGGCCAAAGAAGTCGAAAACCCGCTCAAAAACGGAAGAGAATGGGTGGTTGGGCGACCAGTACGCAATTCGGCGTCTACGGAGGCGTCCTACTATTGTGGGGCTAATGCCGTTAAATTGCCTAGTCACCAAATCTGCTAAAAATTTGTATATAGGGGTAGTTTAACATCCTGATTAAGAATATGTCATTCGCTCTTGTCGCTGGCGCTAATGGATGACACTACGATTATCTGCGCTCTGCTAAGGCTGAGCCTAGGAGGTGATCCTAGTGTCCTCTCTTGACGCCAGCGACAAAAGTGAATGTCATATTCTTAATCAGGATGTTAAACTACCCCTATATACAAGTTTTTGGCGGATTTGGTGACACTTAGGCATTTACAAATGGGAAATGGGAGCCGAACAATTCTTGCGGGGTAGGTGGAAAATGGGACGGTTGACCCCTCGTTAATGACTTGTCGCACCTACGATTCGAGGCATAATTAACGAGGTGCGAAGCGACCTCATTAAGCCGAGCCACGTCGCGCTAACTGCGGTCTCGGTAAGAGGAGAAGTTATTAAGCTATCCAGCTATTCATGACATGAATTCATCAAAAATTTTCGGTAAAATGGATCAAAATGTTGCTATATATTTCAGCTATTTATTAGTTTATTACTATTTGTCATAGTTACTTACCATTTATTCTCACAACTAATTTAAACAAAAACAACGGTTATGCACTATGGCTATATTAACTGCCACTGCATCGCTTCACAGCTGCTTTTTTCCCTGTCTCAGGTGTATATTCATTGATCGGGTTGAAGTGCCCGAGCCCCACGAAAAGGTCTGTCAGTACTGATCCTGGATTCGAAGGATGCTTCCCTGTACGTAATACGAAGGTGCTGGTGTACGGCGGAATAGGATGTTGCTTCCTGATCAGCGTAATAGGATGTTCTCAGTGCTGGGGGAAAAGCGTATGGAGGGAGGGCTCCACGTGGTGAAGTTGCTGGTAAAGGGATAAGCGGTATGTTGGTTCCTGACCGACGAAGTGAGAATGTCAGGAGAAAGTGCGGGAGAAAATGTGCATGGTGACAGAAGCCTTACGTCACATGAAGGTGCTGGTACCGGATAAAAATTGTGGGGCGGTGTTACATACAAGGTGTGTGGAGACGAAGTGTGTGGGAGCCCGAAAAGGAACGGCTGTAAGTTGTCTCAAGTGATCTACTTCATAACTCATGTTTGAGCGTGTTATGTGTTTGGACCAAAGGGCTTTCAAAGTGATAAAGAAGTCATTATCGGGTAATACAGAAGAGGCCAGAGGGTTCACCGGAACTCACAGGCTGAAGGCAGGCAATGAGGCTCAGCGAGATCCAAGGATGCACTTCGTAAACAGTATGGGTTTCTACGTGACTTCTTGAAGCTTTTCGTTATGAAATTTGGGATGATTGAGCTTATAATTTTTTTTATCGATGCTTTCTTGGAAGCTGGGCATTACACCATTCCAATTAGTTTGACAGGTAGCGCTACCTTATCGTATTAGTTTTTCGTAAGCCTTCTTCCCTTTGGAAGATCCTCACGTATTCAGTCTGAGCTTTCACTCGATTTGAGCCATTCTTGATAGCTCGTGCGTGCCTCGGCTGACCTGCCTCAGCTTAATGAGGTCCCTTCGCACCTCGTTAATTATGCCTCGAATCGTAGGTGCGACAAGTCATTAACGAGGTCAACCGTCCCATTTTCTACTGACCCAAATTCTTGGAGTCCAAACGGCATTAGCCCTATTGTGGGTCGATCAATGATGCGAGTCAATTACGTAGCTGTGGACGAGTTCTCCGGTCCAAGGGAGCGGCTGCCCAGGCTCAGGGAGGTGTCAATTAGCGTCCAGCAGCGTCCCAGTTACGGTAGGACAGCTGCCAGCCACGCCATACGACCGCCTCCCCGGCTAAAGGCCACGCGAGGCGGAGGGATGCTGACATAAGGCTCCTAAAGAAAATTGCCCAGGTACTTTACTTGTATGCCAAGTAAGGCACTTGTATTTCGACCTTATTCAATGTTCTTTTTCATGTCTAGTTGAGAAACACTTTATAAACTCTATGTATTCTGCTTTACAGCTGAAACAGATGCGAATGAAAACAAAAAAAATAAAAATTATTTAAAACTTGCGTATTTCAAGCGATTTGTTTTTATTCCTTTTTTGACATTCCCAATAGCGTTTAGCAAAAATGAAACCCATCTGTGTGGTCCTTGTATGGACCCCTACAACATGCAACAAATCGTTTTGAAAAAGCTCACCACGGCCTGAACGACTCCCTAGTTAGCTCGAGGGCACTTAACTGATGCACTCGTTTTAATTCATCTTTATTTAATGGTGTTTTTCTTGCAGATTTTTCTCCGTTCATTTTCGTCTCTTATTCAACTAGGCATTAGAACAATGGCGGTTGAAGCACCATACGGAAGTTGGTCGAGTACAATTACGCCTGATCTCTTTGCTAAGGGCAATTGCAAAGCGATCTGTGAACTTCAGGCTACTAATGGTGAGCAGTAGTTGTGTTCGAGCGTAATATTGCATGTGGGGCAGATTCTGAAATACCATTCAAATAGCCGAAGCTGATTCCCGTTTAGGGTCGAGCATGTCGCGGAATTTTTCAGATTCCGTAGATAAGTGCAACAACAAAACTATTAAGCAAGGCAAGGAGGGAGATGTAGGATGGATATCCAGCACGTCAGCTTAAACATGGCCCCTTACATTCTTCTGCGGATTTCGTGACACATGCTTGACCCTGGGTTCTCCAGCCGCAACAAAGTTGTTCTGGAGAGATTCCTCACAAATGACCTATTTGCTAGGCCCTCTTTTTCTCGCATTTCCTTTTCTTTTCCCCTTTTTTTATTTTTGTACGACTTGTCGTTTTTTAGACGGCGTTTTTTGGGTTGAGCAGAGTGCAACTACTGGGAAAAGGGAGCTCTACTTCCAGTCTGCGAAGCCGCTATCCACACGGGTCAGATGGGCTCCGCAGCAATCTGTGCAAAACTGTGGTAAGACAGATGTTTTTGTTCCACAGGCGACTTCACTAAGGAGTATATATTGCAGTTCACGAATACGGTGGTGGTTCCTTTCTTCCACTCAACGACGGCTCAGTTATATTCAGCACAGTTGACGGTGTTTTTCAGCAAATCGCTCAGGAGGCACCACCCGTTCAGCTGGCTGAGGCAAACGACAAGAAGCTACGGTATGTACTAGGAAACCAGATGCTGGCTCTGTAAACACATACTTTCACAACCTATTCACTCAACGGCGGTGCGATTCACTACCCGTTACGACCCTCTGCACAAAAGCAAATAATTTAAATCAGTAACGGTCGATTTACCATGACTAAAAATCAGAGCCCATAATCAAGTTTTTTGCCTCACCTATTCCTAGTTCGTGTGCTCTTGACTGTCCCCTGGAACAGATCTAGAAATTTCCGGCTTTTGCCCAGCCCCATCGGCGCGTGCTTCGTCCGCTATGTGTGTGTCTCTCACACGTCGTTCGCTCCCCTCCGCGCCCTTGTTCGTTTTTTTGACTCTGTTCCCCCGCCCCTCAGCGGGCGTGCCTCGCTCATATCATATGTCCCCTCGCTAACCTCAGTCCACCTTCCCTGTGGGCAACTTTGTAACCGGATCGCAAATTTCTAAAATTACTACCAGCGGCTTAACGGCACACCACGCCTACTGCAAGCGGGTCTCAGCACACCTCAAACATGCGCAACTCTCTTTGGATGTTTCCCTACTTTACCAAATTTTTTCCCGAAACTGTTTCTGGACAGAGTTATAAATGTTTGTAGCTAGCACCGCCCATCTCGGGCGCTCACTTTATGTGCATGCCCCGCCTTCACAGGGCGGAGCTCAGCTTGCTTCATAAGTGCTCTCCGCACCTTGTACCATGTACTCCGTACCCATCTCTGCCCTGACCAAACCTCTTCGAATGGCTTTTCAGATGCAGCCAATCCCAACGAGCAATCAAACAAAAAAAAATCGATGTAGCAGATTATATACCTTCTTCAACAGATGACCTAGTCACTGTTTTATAAATCCCGGTTTCGATTTTTAGGTATGCTGACTTTTCTGTTGCTAAAACTCATATATTTTGTGTGAACGAGTGTCATCTACAGCCTGGTGTCGATCCAGAGAATCGTATAATTTCAATCGATATAGCAACAAAGGAACAAAAAGTTGTGGTAAGTTCAAACTAGCCAAGTAATCTTTTTTTCGTGCTCTTCATATCGAAATGCGAAACGGATCACCCACAAGCCGTGATTTTACCCCTGGACCATACTTATAATAAAACGGTGCTCTTCTTTCTCTGCAGCGCTTCCACATGATTATTGAAAAAAGCTGACTCGTATTTCATTTGACCCCCGCGAGTCATTTTATAGGCCACGTTGCATTTCAAATGCTGCTATGATCCGAATGGAAGGGGGAGGCGTAAAGCATCGTGAAAAAGGTTGCTTATCGGCAAGGTTTTATCCATTTTTTTAATTATTTTGTTCCCTTTGTAGGCAAGCGGTGCAGACTTCTATGCATCTCCTCGTGTATCACCGGATGGTAAGAGATTGGTTTGGATGCAATGGAATCACGTGAACATGGTACGAATAGAAAGCTTCCGACATGGAGTAGGATCTTACAGAATATGTTTTCCTTTCAGCCGTGGGACGAAACGTCTATTCACGTGGCTGTGTTAAACGAGGACGGTACCGTTACCAATGAAGTTGTCGTCAAGGACGGTACAGGACAAAAGGCAATGCCGAATTTTATCATTGTCATTTTGGTAGAAACCATTTGAGATTTCAGATCAACTACTACTGCCCTAGTTGGGAGGGTAACCATTTGCTGATGATAAACGACTCTACTAATTTTTGGAATCTCTATGAGGTGGATGTTGCGTCGGAGTGTAAGTACTCAATTATTTTTTTGAAATGGCTCTGTTTCATGAGCATTTGGAGTACAACAGATTTCATCTGTTCCGGTTTGAATTGGTTTCTAAGTGCTATAAAATCGGTGCGAGCTTAGATGATAGAATACTTTTTCTATAGTTAAGGAGAGGAACGTGTTCCCTGTCGACCAGGAAATCGGCTATCCGCTTTGGCAATTCGCTGACCGACCTTATGCTTCTAATGGATCCTGCATTGTAAGTTCAAAATCTCACAAAATTGAAGTATTTAACTGGGAATGTTTTGATTTCCTTTTTTGGCACTATTAAACTATTCCTGCCCCAAAAACTCAAAAAAATTTTCTCGCCGAATTGTTGCCTATAGATGTAGGATGCCCTGATCACGAATATCATTCGTTTTGAGCGCTGGCGCCATTATGCGCCAATTTGGCGCAACCACTTTTTTCACCAAAGTCGGTGAAAACTTGTATATGGGGGTTAATCGACATCCTGATCACGAATATCACATTCGTTTTGAGCGCTGGCGCCATTTGGCGTCATGGTGCCATGTCGGATTCGTAATCAGGACCTCAAATAACCACCAGATACAAGTTTTCACCGATTTCGGTGGAAAAGATGGTTGCGCCAAATTGGCGCATAATGGCGCCAAATGGCGTCAGCTCAAAACGAATGATATTCGTGATTAGGATGTCGATCCACCCCCATATACAAGTTTTCACCGACTTTGGTGAAAAAAGTGGTTGCGCCAAATTGGCGCCAAAAAGCGTCAGCGCTCAAAACGAATGATATTCGTGATCAGGGCATCGAATTACATCTACAGGCGAAGTTCCGAGAAAAAAATTGAGTTTTTGGGGTAGGAATAGTTCATAGTGCCCCCTTTTTTAATATATTCATGACAATCTTCACCATGGTGCTGATGCACGGGAGACGGTAAAGAGCATCGTCATTTGTCGCTCGATCGCGCGGCGATAATGTCGATTGTCTCGTCACCTACCCGTGGACTCCTAGTTGACCATTCTCTACCATTTCCTAAACTGAAAAGCTCTTCATGACTAGAATCTCTCCCAACGCTGGGTAAGGTACCCCCGCCGAAACTGGGTCTTTCGAATCAGTCCACGACTCGATTAGAACCTGCAGTCCAAATTGGCGCACAAGGTACAACGGTAAAAGGCAAGTGCTTACCGCGCGAACGACTCTTGGGTCAAATCCTATATTGTGTTCTACCTAGTGACCAATAAGACCCTCCATTCTTTTGGTATCGACTATCTGGTAGCGAACTCGCAATGAAACACTTTTCAAAGTTGTCCTGTATGACGGCTGACCTACCGTAACCGTATCCTGTTTTGTGGGTCATGAGGCGCTTCTGCGGGGTATTGAGCGCTAACTTCCAATCGCGGCGAAACAGACGTTGCAGGCGGAATGACGTACGCAGCATCCTCGTAAAGACCCGACCCCCTTCTCAACATGGCAACGGCGCTGCGTTTACTCTTGTTTTTGTACAGTCTATATCCGAGAGGTGGGCGTGACTGTCTATGTATTTAGTTTTGACTGATCTAGACGACTACAGATTTATTCATAAACGCAACATAAGAGAGCGCAGGGGGCACAAGAGAATAGAGATGTACCTTTCTCCCCCTCTCTGCCCTAACCGTCAGATTTTTCTCAGATACCCAGCCGCTGCTGCGCCCACAAAACACCAACAAAGGATGTGGACACGTCCTTCCCATCTCCGGAATATGAAGTGCGCTTAGGCAGCCCAGAAACTTTAATCAAAATGAACGAGCCCTTAACTCAATATCAAAGGATTAACGTAGTGCCCGGCATCATGATTTGGCTGTTATTATACCTTCTAGATAATGAACGTCAACGGACGTCTAATGCTACGCCGTGAGCTAGCCGTAAGGGAAGTACCAACACCGGGCTTTACTATGTTCTCACATCTGAGCATAACTGAGGCCGATGTGGTCTACGCCATCGCATCGGGACCGAAGAAAGCGTCGTGCGTGTTGCGGATCGACGTTTCTAAAGAGGTACGTTTGTCTAAAAGAATGGAGAAAATCCATAGCCAAAAGTGAATCTGTCCAGGAGGAGGCGGTTATTGACGTGGTACGTACTGCACGTGAGGACAGTGATCTAGATGCGCTTGACATCTCTGAACCTGAGCATCTGGAATTCCAGTCAGATGGTGTTCCGGTGTCAGCTTGGTTCTATAAGCCCAAGGTGATGTTAAGATGTGTTCAGTTTGCGAAAAACTTATTTATGTTCCTATAAACGTAAAAAAAACAAGTAAAAGTCGATCACTTCATTTGAGAACTTTATTCAAGAGCCCTGAATCATTTCAGAATCGCCATTTCAACGGTCCTGCGGCAATGCTTCCACCAGTACTGCTTCTCGGCCACGGTGGCCCTACTGCCGTAGCTGGGAACTCTTTAGACTTGAAGAAACAATTCTTCACTTCACGAGGTTTCGCTGTTCTTGACGTAAACTATCGCGGATCGACAGGATTTGGCACCAACTTCAGGAATATGTGAGTATTTATCGTAATCTTTAGATCTTTTCTGTCAAGATGAAATGCATCCCTTCACGGATCTTATTTGGAAAATCGGATTGATATGTTTGCGTGAATATTAAATACGACCCACCATAACTGGTAAGGGTTTAAACGGCGAGGCCTTTAAACAAATGTATGTAAACTTCGCGAATTGCTGCCTGTTCTGTTTGAAAACTGAAACAGGTCGCAATAAGGGGCAGCTAAATGCAGGAAGTGGTAGGTGATCTTCTCAGCACCCGTCTGCCCCGGAGTGCTGCGGTGCTCCCATGCGAAGCTGCTCTCAAAGGACAGTCAATGGCGAACCTGTTAAAAGGCAGATTTTGATTTTACATTGTAAAAGAATGTTTATGAAAAGTCCGTAGCCAAACAAAGTGCATAACTTGGCCACTCGAAAAAGCGTTCATACTCCACGACCCGAGCAATTCAGTCCTGATTCTTCAGCTTCACCGCTATTGAATCGCTGTAAAGTTCGAAGATAAGCTTTATCTTGACTGTGTTTTGTTAGCAGTTGCAGCGGTTCAACGGTTAGTAGTGAATAGTGATTAGTCGCTCCCAACTGAATTGCTCGGGTCGTGGAGTATGAACGCTTTTTCAAGTGGCCAAGTTATGCACTTTGTTTGGGTACGGACTTTTCATAAACATTCTTTTACAATGTAAAATCAAAATCTGCCTTTTAACAGG